CTATCTCAATGTTTCCTCAAAACTCCGTTTCAGTGGTCTTAAGTCGAGACCGTTGAAATAAATTCTTAAAATTTCGAGTATTCAAGAAGTTTAATTTCGAGATTGGCCGAGTTTTTGCTCTAATCGAAAAGGTGGCTTCTAATGGAATTGTCTAACACTTTTGTACTTTAGAGAGGAAATGTACTTTGAATAAATATTGCTTTCCTTTTAATCTAAAGAAAATTTTTCGTCTGTATTAAGTAATTTTTGCAACTTTCCTTAAAAGTGTCATGTCAACTAAAAATCATGTTCAAAGTTTCTAACATCTCAAATTTTACTTTTTGTACATTCGCGGCTTCCTCGAAAAGTTGACGAGGAAAAGGCGATGGGAATAGGGTCATTGGGCAGAATTGGGCGTAATCACTTCGATCTTTGTACTCGTCGGGCCGAAGCACAAATCCGTGTGTCTGAAACGGTTCGCCATATAAAGTCATAATAAAAATTTCAGTAGTATCCAGCAGATACTCACGTGTGACCAGTCCATAGCCTGTTCGCATAGTTCAGTTAACTCGGAGTCTTCCAGGCTCAGGTTTTCAATGTAAGCAATCGATTTAAGGCCATTTGACGCCATAGTTCGTAGAAAAATACTTTTATGGCTCGTTTTGTACCTGAAAATTTCTCGAAAAAGTAACATTTTAATGTTTCCATTTTGTGAAATGACACTGAAAATGGAGTAAAAATAGATAGAAACCGAGAGTGGCAAAAGTTCTTTTACATAGTGACCTCAAGAGTGCTGCTTCGTCGATTGACCTTATCCAATTACAACATTTATCGATTGAAATAGTAAGTCAGTGACCCCAGGTAAGTCAAATATAACCGCAAATAATGAACGAATGTTCTCTTTATTGCAGACTTGGATGTGATAGTTCCTTGTATTCTGAGAGAGAAAAGACGATAACAAGGTCGCGATATATGTATCATACCAAAAACTAGGGTTTTTTTCTCTACCGGTTAGAGACACTCTCTCACTACAAAAATACTCTCTCGCCTATGTGAGAGAGTGTTGAGTGAGAGCATTCCAAAAATTGTCTGACCTCTCCCGGAGGTATAGGCCGAGCCCAATAGTGGTCATATATAGACAATGGCTAAATATGGCCAACGTTTATGGTCTCACTACAAAGGCCAACCCATTTACTCTCGGAGATTATATGGCCAATTTTTGGCCAGATTATTAATATGGACTGCGGACTTCTTGGGCTTCTTGCCAAAAAATCTCTAGTATCTTTAATCAATGGCTTATTCAAGGTCCTATATATACTTTTTAGCCAAGTATCATTATAATTTCACGAGATTCTTACAAAATATTTCAGACAGACATTCCAAAACAAACTCCTTTGTTCTAGAACACCGAACAAAATCAAATCGATTCGATTTTTCACAATTACACAAAGCGAATCCCCCGGGGGATTGGCCGGGGGATTGAGAGAGTATTTTTCTGCAGTAAAAGCGAGAGAAAAATACAAAATCCCCTCCACTTTCCCCGACATCAACCCAACTGGGGGGTAAACGTCTGCAGTGCTAAACAACGCTCACCACATGTCTTTGCGCCAGCGACGCAGAGGATTTGTATGGTAAGCATGAAAAAGAGAGTGTTCTAGCCGCCTCAGCCCAGTAAAAAGAGATTTTACTGGCTGCAGCCAGTGAGGAGCTCTTTTTACTGGCTGGAGCCAGTAAATTTATTTAATTATGGGTTGGAGGGAAGCGAGTGCGTTAGAGATACACACTCTCTCGCAAACTGAGCATCAGCTCAAAATGTTGCGATTTGCCAGCTAGAACACTCTCTTTCTCATGCTCACCATACAAATCCTCTGCGTCGCTGGCGCAAAGACATGTGGCGAGTGTTGTTTAGCACTGCAGACGTTTACCCCCCCCCAGTTGGGTGGTAACCCACTTTCCCTCACGTGCGTAGCCCAAGCATGAACAATTTTAACAATGCACATTAGAAACGATCACAATGACCTATACTTTATTCTTAGCGCAATTAAAGTTTCCATTGTGTGAAATGACACTGAAAATGGAGTAAAATTAGATAGAAACCGAGATTGGCAAAAGTTCTTTTACATAGTGACCTCAAGAGTGCTGTTTCGTCGATTGACCTTATCGAATTACAATTACAGTCAGTGACCCCAGGTAAGTCAAATATAACGGCAAATAATGAACGAATGTTCTCTTTATTGCAGACTTGGATGTGATAGTTCCTTGTATTCTGAGAGAGAAAAGATTCATATGCGATGATAACAAGGTCGCGGTCGTATTTCACACCGGCTCCTTTGCGATTACCGCAATATCAGCAAACTATTGCGGATTTGCCGTCAAATGAAAACAGAAAAATGTGCACTCTAAAGTAGCGATCTGCCATCGAAGTAGTAAAGTTGGCAAAATGCCAGAAACTGGTTATACAATTTATCCGGAGCCCAAGAATAACCTCGGGAGCAAAAAATCACATCCGGAAATGCCGGGTTGACCACATGAGAGACCTCGTGAAAATACCAGCTCTTCGTGAGAAAGTATCTAGAGTCTGACTTCATATTCGTGAGCAGCATATTCGAAAACCCCAGTGTGCAAAACAATCAGCCCCGGAGACGCTTTGGTTCAAAAAAGTCATTTTTTGCGCAAAAATTGGCCATTTTTCAGAAAACGGACACCTGGTCATAGACACCAAATCAAAGTAAATAAATTGCATTTGTCCATAATGGGCTTCCAAAGCAAAGAACATATATACCACGACAAATTATTTTTGACCGGATAATTTTAGATTCATTAAATACTGTGATTTAGGTGGATTTTTTACTCTACACTAATTCCATAGCCGACAGTACATTAAGCGTATACTAAATCTCCCATAAAGTGATCAATAGTTTGGTATTCTTTTGTACTAATTATGGCCATTATTCTCGAACGCACCCTCCGAGAACAAAATACCGAATATCTTTTCAATAAATTACATGAGGCGAAACTGGGAAAACATTGCACTTTTAGATTCCAACTATTGTTTTAGTTTAAAAGTGTCTTTGTTTGTTTTCAGCATTCTTTTGTCACATTTTATCTCTTCTCTTGCCTCAAGCTCAATGCTAAAACAGACCATGTTGTTTTGATTAGGCTTACGTCGCTTGACCGATATTTCTATTTCGGTGATTGTTTATGTATTCGATATCACTCCACATTCTTTTGAATTGCAGTTACAATCCTTTGGTTTTTTCCTCGGACTCACTGCTGTAGTCCCATCCGGTCACAAAGGACAAAGAACAGATATAAAGGAGTGTGAGAGACTATTTTTGAATACAAATCTCGATCTTGGTGCTAAAATTAGACTGAAATGTAATGCATCAAAGATTATTTATAAATCGTCTGCTTCCGTGCTGCATCTTTTCGAAAAATTTTCAGGAAATAAAAAATTATAATTTGCATGGAAAAACTCCTTCCATCAAGTTGTTCCGGTTATCTTTTTAGCATTGCGGGCAAAAAAGTCAGTTTTACTAAATTAACTGTTTTTCTGCAAATAGCGTTTCTAGAGTAACTTTTTGCGCTGATTCCAAATCTTCAATTAGTTTCTCAGGCTTAGTTTTTAGGCATAAGTTATGGGTAAAAAACTGTTTTGTAAGTGTCCATGGCTGCAAGTGGGAAATAGGACGCTTTATATCGCACGTACAACGCCAGAGCTGTAAGTGAGTGGCCCCAAATATTATAGGCAAACTTTGTGACCCATAAAATATGTGGCACAGTGGCCGAGTGGTCTAAGGCGCTGCGTTCAGGTCGCAGTCTGGTTTGGGAACCGGACAAAATGCCCCCCCCGGTCAAAATGCCCCCCGGTCAAAATGCCCCCCCGGTCAAAATGCCCCCCGGTCAAAATGCCCCCCGGTCAAAATGCCCCCCCGGTCAAAATGCCCCCGGTCAAAATGCCCCCCGGTCAAAATGCCCCCAATTTTAAAGCATGTGTTAAAATTTGCCTAAAAACATGTGGAAAGCGGTTTTAGCGATTTATTCACAGAAATAATCTATTTCTTCGCCAGTAACAGAGATTTTTGACTGCAATGATGATTCATCACCAGTAGAAATAGAGCTTGTGTTCGCTTTAATTTCAGTGTTTTATTTTCAAATGCGCATTACGATTCTTTTTTCATTGATTCAGCAGAAGGATTGATCTGTTTTCATTTATTTCTTGATACCAATACATTTTATTCCTATATTTTATGCCATAATGTCAAATAACATTTCATGACAAAATAAAATTGTGACATTTCAGTGTTCTGTTCAAGAATGGTTTTTGTTGTTTCGGAATGGGCAAAAACGGGGAAAACACAGTTTGAGCGCAATGTATGATTAAGCTGCTGCAGCAGAGAAAAAAAGACATACATTGCGCTCAAACCGTCGGATTTCTCTCTTCTTCATGAGAGGGGCTTGATGGCACGTGAAATTATTTCACGTGCCATCAGGCCCTAAATCGACTCCTAACGCCTTAGGCGAACAACCCAACCCTTTAGGCGGGCAACCCAACCCAAGGGACTTAGGATTAGGCCCCCCGTTAGGCGAACAGGCCCTTAGGCTGCTGTTTAGGCTTAGGCTTAGCCTGCTAATGTCCCCGGGTTTTTGACTGCTAATGTCCTTGTTTTGGCGCAATTTTTGCAATTTGGGACAGTAGCAGTCAAAATTTGTGTGGAGAGAGTGTGGGCAGAGATAGGCAGAAATCGTCTAGTTAAATGACTAAATACTATAAGAATAATTTTTTGCTGAAATTTGGTTTTTCTGAAAATGGGGGCATTTTGACCGGGGGGGGCATTTTGACCGGGGGGCATTTTGACCGGGACTCGTCTGGTTTTCCAGGCGGGAGTTCGAATCTCCCCTGTGTCAAATCTTTTTAAGACCCAAATTAACCGGAACAACTTTGATGGAAGGAATTTAAACAATTTTTAACTTAAAAATTATTTTTTGCACCTAAAAAAGCAGACTTTCGTAAAAAGATTTGACACAGGGGAGATTTGAACTCCCGCCTGGAAAACCAGACTGCGACCTGAACGCAGCGCCTTAGACCACTCGGCCACTGTGCCACATATTTGATGGGACACAAAGTTTGCCTATACTATTCACTTTCAGTTCAACAATCGCTTTGATAAACCACTTCGACGAACATTTTTACGCATAACATATATAGTGCACACAGTATTCACATATCTGGGAGCAATTTGAAATCTAAATTTTCAAAAGAAAAGGTCCAAAATAAAATGCTCATCCTGTAATGTAGTGCAGCAAACATCTCATAAATCTTCTACTTCTTTAATTTAATAGTAAAATTTTCTGTAGTAAATTTTGTAGTAAAATTTTCAGCCAAAATTTTACCCGAGAAGCGGAAGATTCAAAAATGATCTTTGATGCACTACACTAGTGTCCAATTTTAGCGCAGTAATCGAAACTTGTATCTGGAAATAGTCCCAACTGTTTTCAGTCCAAGTTTTTGATCAAAATTTTTGATCTCTCACAGTCTTCTGTTTCTGTTCTTTGTTTTTGTGACCAAGATCCGGTCGCCGTTTCAACTTTTGACTGGTCATATTACATTTCTCAGCCAGTCAGAGGAAATGCGGTGAAAATGTGTCATTCCCCGCTTATATTTATTTTGATGTTAGTCACTTTTTTGTCACATTCTTAGAATATTTTTTCAGTAAGTACAAAATGTGGCTGAGAAAATGAGACCAAATAAATAAAAAGGTGAAATAAATTTTTGTGGATTCTAGGAAAATATTGGATTAAAACATTTTCATACCATTCAAAAATATTCGAAATTGATTCATGAATTTCAAAAAATGTGATATTTTGTTTTTGCAGAAGTTTTCCTAAGAAAGAAAAAATGTTCTTTCCTCAACCCATTTTACTTAACTTTTTCTGAGGCCAAAACCTTTTTTCTTTCGTAACGGCATTTTTCCGAACTCTGCATCTGATCATAGAGCATTTTTATGAAAGCAAAAAAGCATAAACAAATCACATGTCATCATTTTCTATTATTAGAGCGGAAACTTTCCAGGATATGTCACGTAGCATTTCTTAATTTTGGTTTTAGTGTCTCTGAGCTTTTGCATTTCTTGGTCTTTTTGGTGGCTCCTTAGCCCTTAGCTTCGATCAACTTTTAACGGACCGCATTGAATTTCGCTGCTGCCAAGCCGGCTATTGTATTTGGCCAGCCTGAAATCGAAGAGTGTGTGTGATTTTGTTTTCGGCGGCCACTTGGCTACTTTTGAGCACTCCTTCGAAACACGAGGAAAAGTGTTATTTCTTTGAACAGCCAATTTTTTCTGTGATTGCGCAAATTGTTTTGAATTATTTTGAATTCAAAGTCATTCGAATACCTTTTGTTTCCTTTATTTACCGATGGCTAGACTTGGGTTTGCTCTCCGGAAAAGTCTGCTAGTCACCTGATCAATCATCTGATCTCTGATATTTTCATTCCTTCGGAGAAACGGAGCTCGATAGTCGGAATTTCAAAGTTTGGGGGCCTGACCCCTAAAGAATGTTTTCTGGCGAAATTACGTTTAGGCGTTTTTTTGAAAATGTTCAAAAAATTAACATTCAAACATCAAGAAATAGCCATTTTATTCAAGAATTTCTTATAAATTTTTTATCTTCAAAATTCTCAAAATACTCTTTTGAGCTTTGAAGATTGAGCTTTCCAAGATAAAAAATTGATCCAAATACGTCTTGGATCTGTCGCCAACTACGGCCCATTCCTAAGCCCTAAGAACACGAGGAAAAGAATGATTTTTCTACGACAGTCAAAACTGCACTACGTTTGCCGTTTCCCACACTATTTTTGAATGACTTTGGAATTTTCAGTGATTCACACCCATCCGCCTAAGCCAATTCTTTTTGAACAATATATCCGACGATGTTTTCGGCTGGAGAACTGGAGAGGAATGTTTGGTGTTTCCGCCCTTGTTGCTGCTTTTAAAATATTTTGTAATGGGCCAGTTGAGGTTTTGTAATGCACCCTTGTAAATATTGACAGCTGAATCAAGGAAAACTTGTTGATGGACAGCTTTTAGTTCCTCTGGCCATACAATACTGTCTACTAAATGTCCGTTGAGTAGAAAACTTTGTTTTTGACTTAAAAATTTTTGAAGCTAAAAAAGTTTTTCTCCCATAAATTTGGCATATTGCCAGATTTTTTCAGAAGACGTGAAACATTAGGTGAAACATTAGGTCCTGCTTGGCCAGAGGAAACACTAAAAGCGTTCCATCAACAAGTTTTCTTTGATCTGACTTTCAATATTTGTACCAAGGGTCTTGTTATTCAGGAGGCTGAATATCCATGTCACTTTTTAATTGTCTAACAACTGTAAGATTATAAGTTCTAATATTAATCCATAATGCCCCTAGCTGCGAGCTTTTGGTAAAGTTGATCGCAATCTCGGATCGTCCATTGCCCTTTGTTGGTTCATAAATCATTCTCATACATGTCCTTTTCTCCTTAGCCCGAACACTCATCATCGTCGCTAAGCGGCTTGCAACACACTGTCCAAAAGCGAAAGCTGTTTATTATTGTCTGCTGTCCGTTTCCTATCGATCGACAATTGGTTTCGTTTTCAAGCGGATTAATTCTGTTTTCTTTTTTTGTTTATAACTGTGTCTCATTAATAGGGCTAGGATTTTTAGGTCCCAAAAATCGCATTTTAGGATCCTAAAAAGGTCCCAAAAAAAGGCCATTTTAGGTCCCTTTTAGGTCCCACCAAAATGGTCATTTTAGGATCAAATTTCGCCCAAAAAGTCATTTTAGGACCGTATTTTACATCGAATTACCAACTAGCAACCAACTGTTTACCTTTTTTACCATTTTTTGCAAAAATGAACGAGTCATTAATCAGTCATAAACTGATTATTAATGAGTCATTAATAATCAGTTTATGACTGATTAATGACTCGTTCATTTTTCTTGTTCCTAAACTTTGTGGCGTTCGAATGGAAACTAAAAATTTTTTATTCTTCAAACAGATTAAATCGGGTTTACTATGGTGAAACGTCTTTCTTTGCCTTTTACTGAACACATTACGTTTTCAAGTTTGAATTCCAAATTTTAGTTCCCAAATCACAGGATGTGAGCAAATTTTTGAAGCAATGAATGATGTTCATTTCCCTATGAACATTTAACTCCCACAGTCATACCTTATTAGCATTTGGGAACGGTATAATTCTCCCTTCCATTTCCTTATGCCTGAAAGCAGGTAACGTAAACACTAGAAACACTTCTGAGCTACAAAAGAATTTTTTGGCGCCAAAATACTGTGCGAGTGTCTGAGAATAGGCATCCCGTTATACACACAGGTGTGATATTTTTGGTAAATATGATCAGACCCTCAGGTGTTCTTTGAAAACTAACTATAGTTTTATGATATTAGAAGCAAATACGATCCTATTTTTAAGGCGAGACTGTGTCCAAAAATTTTATGACTAAAATCTTTGAAATGTTCCGAATTCTCGGCGAATGTTCCCTGATTTTCTGATCGGATTTCTCTGAAATTGGCGAAAGCCCCGTTATAAATTTTATGGAGCCAAAGATAATAGCTAAAGCCAAAGATCATAACTCTTGTTTTCTGGTGAGAAACCAATACTCATTTTAGATGAGTTCTTCAGGAAATTCCTCTAAGCTATCTCTGTACCTATATCAAGTTAAGAAATTTCCCTGTTAGGGTGAAAACCCCCTTAGGGTCACAACCTTAGACGAAGTCCGCTAAGCTCCGGAGCAAACTGTTCAAATTTTCAACGATTTTTAATTATGGATCAAATTTTTAGGAAGAAGTATTGCTCTCGAGGCATCCGGTTATCCATGATGTTTTTTAAGGGTTTTGCCCACTGAATTCTATTCGCGCGCCATCCTAAGACACAAAATTCTGAATGACGAAATGCTTTTTATAAACATATTTTGAAATATGCTAGAGTTCTGCAAAAATCAATAAAACTGTTCCTACTCCCAAAACTGTTTCTATTCCCATTCAAGCTGTTTTCCATTCATTCCTCATGTGATGTCCACAGTTTGGCTCTCAAATTTTTGGCTTTGAAAACCCATTGGGCGAAAAAGCAAACAAATGGTTTCGGTTCACTGTACCAATACCGCTCCAATGCCCTTCTCTCAATTCTTGGGGTCATTCAAAGGAATTCGAATTCAAAGGCTTTTATCCAAATGGAATTCGAATCATCATAATTTTTGAAAATGGTTACCGTTAGCCGTAAAAGTTGCCCATTATTCTCGAATTGTAATTCCTAAAAGTGTACTTTGTGTCCCTTTGGTCTTGACTCAGACCGCTGCTCAGGAACGTCACAAGCCCGTTGACTCAATAGTTAATACCGAAAATGGGTGCGATGTCCTTAGATTAATATGTAATTCGAGTCATTTTCTAACTGTCTAATCTACCAGAGTAAGAGTGCAAACACACTCTTGAGTCGATTATCATGTCGGAAGTCACGTTTCTGACCCGCTTCTCCGATTTGATGAGGTAACGAATGATTTTTAACACTGATAAGGTTGGCAACATTGCTATAAGCTGACACCGTTATATGTGACGAATATGTTGCGAATTATCAATACTCTGCTCGCTATGAGAAATTTCATTCTGAAGCTGCCTTTTAAAGCGTTTACAAAGTTTAAAAATGCAATTTCAGGTTCCATATGTATCCCGAAACTCTGGAAGAGACTTCAAAGGAGGACTCAACATTGGCAAATCCGACTTCGCCTTTGCTTCCCAAAAACTCCTCGTCTAATTCAGTCCAGGATTCAGAATCCGATTGCAGAAGCGCTAAGATCCAGGATTCAAATATCAACGGTCCTCATCTTCTAGCTTCATATTTACTATCCCAGAATCGACAACAAGGCAACAATATCGCCGAGAATGGGAGACCGCAAAATTTCAAGGGAGGCTGTGTCCGCCGCCTGCACAGCGATCAAAATTCGTCATCTTCCATGGAAAGACAGCATCCAGAAAGACAGCGACACAATCAGCACGTGAAATTCAATATCGGTGCGTGTAACTTTTCGTGATTTTCCCGTGGGATAAAGTTTACAGAAATG